TTTCGTTCACAAACTTCCGTTTCGTATGCCGTTTTCTTTGACCATCTCTTCTTCTTCCTCTTCTTTTTCTTCTTCGAAGAGTTTTTGCCGGATTCCGAAATTTACTACCCAAATTTGAGGGATTGCTATTTCTCGTTCTTATTGCTCCATTTTATATTGCAATATCTCAATCCTTTCATTTGGATTATATCGATTAAATATTATCTACTGTCTTCTTTTCTTTTCTTTTTTTTTTTTCTTCCTCTCTTTTCCCTTTTCAATAAGATACGACGCTTTGAATATTTTGTACAATTTTTTTTATTTTTGCATCTTCTTCTTTTTTCTTACTATTTTCTTTTTTTTTTTATTATTATTATTGGAAATAATTTTCGATAGGGATCGATCGACATTTATAAGGGTATATGTAGGACAAGTTTTATATTTCTTTTTTTTTTGTCACTTTTTATCCTTTCAGTTTCCTTTATTTGTTTTTTGTTCTTTTCTTTTTTTTTTTCTTTAATTTTTATTTTGTATTTTTTTTCCTTCATTTTTTTTTTTCTACCACGATCCCCGTTCAATTTGTTTTCACTGTTGTGACTCGATCGTGAACTGTGGACCTTTGCCCCCTTTATCTATTTACGTAGAAATTCTTGCAAGAGGACACAAGAATTTCCAAAATCGATCCGTCAGTAACTTTCTCGATTTAATTTGAACCTTTAAGGAACACTTTTGCGAAAATATTTTTGTATAGATTGTATCGAGTATAACAAAAATCTATTTTTATTTCTTTTCTTTCTACTCTTCTCTTTTCTTCTGATTTTATTTTTTTTTTTTGGCTTTTTTTGTTAATTTTTTTTCATTTTTGACTTTTTTTTCTTTTTCTATCCATCTCTTCTTTCGTTACCAAAGTTGCGATCTTAAAGTCAAAATATTTGAGAAATGTGCGAGAGTTAATGGATCGATTCGAGTTTGATTATAAAACTTACAAAGTGTAATGATTTAGAAGCGAAAGAAATGTGACCAAAAAAAAAGTAAAGAAAAGAAAACAAAAAATCGTAGAGTATATGTAATTAATAAATTGTTCCACTTGAAAAAATTTGAAGGTAAAAAATTAATTAACGTTATGGGTAACCATGCTTCCGCGTAATGTTATCCCAGGTGATTATTGAAGATCCATTACGTGCAAATACTCTTTTTCTCACGATAACGAAATAACATGATTCAGAAAACAAAGGATTTCTTCTTTTTGTGACGTTTTATCTGCGATTATTTTTTCTTCCTTTTTTTTTTTTTTCTTTTTTGGTCGTTATTTTTTGAATCAATTTACGTAATAAATTGAAAATAAAATATACGCTTCTTCTGTGACTGTTCGTTCGAGCTTGTAATTTTATTAGAAAGAATTTCAATAAAGTTACATTGATTTTGAAAAAAAGAAGAAGAAGAAGAAGAAGAAAATAAAAGAGAAGAGAAGAGAAGAGAAGAGAAGAGAAGAGAAGAGAAGAGAAAAGAAATCAATTAGCTTAAAAAGAATCTCATAGAGAGAGAGAGAGGAAGAGAGAGAGAGAGAGAGAGAGAGAGAGAGAGAGAAATAAAAGAAAAATAGTAATCGATCCTTTTATTCTTTTTTTATTTTTTTTTTATTTATTTATTCATTAATTTATTTCGTTTTTCTTTTTTCTAATCATTTATAGAAACCTTTGACCCCACCCTGTATCAAGTAGTTTCATCGTTCCTCCAACTATATTGCGAAACATAATTCGTCGATACTAAACGCGATCATTTTTCCGTCTAATAAAATTCATCGAAAGGATTTATAAAGCTTTTATTCGACGTGATTTAAATCTTGAGAAATATATATACATACACACATACACACACACAAATATACATTTACACATATAAATGTATTTTTAGGTTAGTTCTCGATTATTTCTTATGTACACGCTCGGACGAATTTGACTCTTGAACCATTTGACTCTTGAACCATTTAACTCTTGTGCTTTCGAAAAGATCGTTGCGAGAGAACGCGAACTAGTTAGAAACGCGAACGTTTGTTATAAACGTATAAGAATTCTCAGAGAGTTCTTCCAGTTGATAAGATTGCATCATGAACGAAGAACTCACGAACGAACGAATGAATGAATGAATGAATGAATGAATGAATGAATGAATAAATGAATGAACGAGCAACACGATTGCTCTTTTATACGTACCTTTTATAACCATGCATTTTACTATATGTATGTAAACGTAATATACATGTGTTTTGCAATCATGTGTATACAATATATATATATATATATATATATATATATATATATATATGTGCGTATGTGTATACTTGACTTGATCTAATTTTATAACTATTTTATTTCGACTAAGTTCTATTTTTTATTCATCTAATTAAATATTATTTTATATTTTAATGAATTTCTTTTTCTTTTTCAATTTCATCCAATTTTATCCTAATGCCATATATATATATATATGATTTTTATTTATTTAAATTTATTTATTTAAA